AGTATTATTTTGGAGGTAGAACGCTGTGTCTGCGAGGTCAGAGTTTGCACTTCTCACGTTGTTACAGCACAATACCTTCTACTTTGCTCTTCTTTTCAGTTATCCACATCCTGCTGTAAATGTTTATTATTCTCCTTACATGGGCAGCTGAATACCTGATTCAATTGAAGGTGACTTCAAATTTATATTAATTATCAGTCTGCATAGTTGAATCAAGCATACGGATAAAAGTAACTATGGATAAGGGGTTACTTATGCTACATAAATCCTTATTAAATATGAAATTCTTTCTTTGCATATCTATAAGATATCACAGAGTAAAGGTTTCAGGGCATTTCCATACATTTATCGCAGTGTTTCAAAGTCTTGGTATTAGAAATGTGCCTCTAGTCTGTGTAAAAATTGACTTTATAAAGCATTAGATACCCTCTGGGTTTAGTTTACACTTACATTAACTCATAACTACAGGAATTAATACATAGTATTCAGCCACTTGTGACAGTTCAAATATTTAACTTAAAAAAAAAAAATAAATAAGAGAAAGAACAGAAAAACCCAATATGAAACCATCTAATTTTCCCATAAAAGCAACATCTTCATTAAGGTACAATATGTCTTGTCTTGGCAGGCTCAGAGACATTACTTTAAGTTGTTGTGATTAAAAGTTTTCTAAAAGATAAGCACTTTTGAAATCCCTGCTTTTCGATAATGAACTGGGCAGAAAATAAATCTAAAACCCCACCTGTGCAAAAACTACTCACTATTAAAATTGAATCAGATATTTTATGTTACTTTGGCTGCATGTTGAAGGTTGCTCCTTGCTGCCAAGAGCGATTTTAAAGAATAAAGTTTTAAAATCAATTCTGCAAACTTCAATGTCATATTCCACACTCTGAGTCCACAGTGGAAATGGTGTACCAGCAGTGCTTCGGAAGAAAGTTAACAGAGAGAAAAATCCTCACAGTTTTATATTTGTGTTTGACAAGTCACATACTCTTTTCTACCATAGTGTTTTCATTTAAACCCATATTTGTTCAGAAAGATCCCAAAATTTGTGTCGATTCTTCTTCTTTAAGATAGAATTGAGTTCAAAGGCCGTGGAAAAAGGTTTTGTTCAGGATAACTGCTCACTGTGGAGAAAATTCACTCCAACACGACACTTAGGAGAGCAGGAAGGATGTGCAAGTCACTGATGTAAAACACAAATGGGAGTTTTGAAGATGTCCCACAGTTGGGTATAATTAGTTCTCATGGCTGAGGACAGCCCAGGATTAGAGCTGCTCAAAAAATTCTGGTCTTGAGGTAAATTGGATGCAGTGATATAAAAGGATATACCACATTTGGCTGCCTTGTCTCTTGTTTAAAATTCCAACTACTTGCCTAAGTTGTTCAAGGAGAAAGAGATTTGTAAAAATATAGTTTAGAGAGACAAAGATGAAAAAAATAAAAAAGTAGCAGCTTTGATGCTATTTTTGGTAACAGTTGTCAAACAGAAGCATGACTTACTGAATTTGCAATAATTGGGTGTTTTGCTGTAATTTAATAACTTCCTGTGAACCTTGAATTTGTGTTGTGCACCCAAGTACAGATGGAAATTTGCAAATATCCTTTTGTCATACTTGCAACCCCGCTAAACTTAGTATGTAAAGTTGTACCTTAATTTATGTTAGATTAGGGAAAATGTTTCTCTAAGAGGATGTTCTCTTCAGAAGGAAATGTACATCATGAAATCATATTCATTCATATTTTTTGCTAATTAAAACTAGTATATTGCTTATGGTAATAAAAATAGTGGAAGAAACCAGTTTGTAGAGTCTTAGTTGCATTCTCCAGTTTGAAATTTAGTAGAGCAGGAGCCTGAGGTGAGGCAGGCAGAGTTTTCCTTCAGCACAAATTGACAGATGCCATGTGAGGAGTCAGTGATGAAATGTCCCTGCTGCTTCTGACAGAGGCATTTAATATTTTCTCATGATGCTTCTTTATTGTGAACCCAGAGCTCGTGATTGATTCCTCCCCTTGTCTCCTGCTGGGGGACATCACAAGAACTCCCTTACCTCTTCCAACCCTCCCAACCTAAGGTCACCTTCCCTGAAGGGGCTGGAGCTGGATTCCCTGGGACCTGCACAGGTATGGCCAAAACACCATCCAGTTTCCTTCCAGCCAGTGTGACATGGTGTGACCCATTCAGAATGGCTTTCCTGGCTGGTCTGACAGCCAAAGAAATCTGGATCCAAAATGAATCTTTCTCCTGTTTCCAGCCTATCTCCAGGCACAGGTTGTTTTCTGGAGATTTAGGGAAAGAGCAATAATCTGTTCACCTGGCCATGGAATGTGCCTGGCCTTGATAGCCTCACCCATCCTGCCCCCCACCCCCTGTCCCTAGGGAAGCACCCAATGCCCAAACAGCCTCCCCTAGGGCTGGGACAGCCCTGCCTGCAGCCCTGGGGGCTCCCCCATGGCCCTGGCCTGGCTTCTGCAGCTCAGCTCTTTTCCCACTCTTCAGCCATCTGTTCCTAGACAATTACTCACAGAAACAGTTGGAGATTCTGCTGCCTGAGCCGCCTCTCTTGAGCTGCTCGCATCCTCTTTGCCCTCCAAGCAGTGTCCCAGGATGAATGTTTGAAACATCGAGATTCTGTATTACCATAATTGCAGCCAGTAGTTTTGACTATTTTTCTACCAACTGGCAAGGCAAGGAATTATTATGTCTTTTGAAGGGAAGAAAAGACACCATCCATCTTTTATATTCTTAGCATTCTTGCACTGATGTAAAATACACCGAGATTATTTTGAAGAAGAACACTTTTAAATTCCTTTTCCCGAAGTTGACTTGATAACACTGCCAGAAGTGGCTGTCTGTTAAAGGGAGAGTGAAGAGGAGTAAACAAGATAAAAAGCTACTCTTCTTTATTTGCATTAGACATTTCAGAAAGTGCAGCAGCTGGGAAGGATTCAGTGGGAGAAGGAAGTGCTGCTTCAAAGGCATTGCAACATGCAGCTTGATTTTGTTTTTAATTTTTTAATTTTTTTTTTTCAATAGAGGTGGTAGAAATTGTGGGCAGGGAGGCCTGCTGTCTTATTCGACTGGTGTTGATGGTTGAGACTTATTACCATTTGGAGTTATTTTGCAAAGTCACAAAGCTTCTATAAAATAAGATTTTTTGGGACTGAAGCTCATCTTCATTTTTAAGCCAAGCTGCCTTCCATCATGCTTGTGAAAGGTCAAAGTACAGATGAATTTATCTTAATCACATAAATAATGGAATTGCTTCCAATCCTCTGCTCTCACAAGTGGTGCACAAAATTCCTCTCAAAACTAAAACAATTCAAGTAGTACTTCCTGGAGTGTTTTGCAGAGTCCTAGCCTATGTTCCCAATCAAAGAAATCTAATTAGGAAGATCCTCTATTAGTATTTTGTGTTAGACAATATGTTTAGAAATGCACAATGTTTATGTCCTGGAGAATTCTTGTATTTTAAAAGGAAGTAGCATCAAATCAAAAATGTTATAGACAGGAATATGTCAGACTAATCTATTAAAGGTTTAAAAGTTAATAATGGATTCATTCTTTCATTCATTACATTTAGGATATGTATAAATATGTTTGTATAGTTTTGGTCACAGATCTCAAGGTTTCTGTTTGTTAAAGTGTGAAAACCCTCTAGAGTTTTAAGGTTTATAGTAATGCAGGTACCATGGTTCACATGTTTCACAGATCTGATTTTTTTTAATGAATGTGTTCTGTTTTAGAAGAAAAGACTTTTTTCACTCCACAAATTCTATCACAGATGCTCTAACACAAAGAATAAACAAGTTATTACTGGCAAATCAGAAAATTAGTTTGGTTTTGTTACATGTGAGGTGCCTTCAAGTACTGATGCAGCTGGGATGGGAATCAAATTAAACCTTGTGGTTTTATATGACCTACCTGACACTGAGCATTGGGCTGCTTTATTTTAGTTCTTCCTTGGAAGTTCTGCAGAGTCCAGCCAGTCCTGGAGGAGTGCCTGGCACTGCCAGGGGTTGTAGGTACTGTAGGGAACACCACATGCATGGGATGCTTCATGGCATGGGGTGTCCCACCTCCAGGGTACAAAAAGAGGAATAAAATGCCTAAAGCCCAAAATTTCTGGTTCTCTGTTTCTCATTACCATAGCCATCAAATCCTGATATCTAAGATAAATTTTGATTGACTTTCAATGTTCTATTGCTAAGTTCTTATATATTACTGAAAAATACAGAAAATGTTTTCTTTGTGAAATGCTTTAATCCCTCTACATTTGAATTGTGTGCATTTAACCCAGGGCATGGTGAGAGCAGTTTGTGTTTCATCCTGGGAGCACACAAATCCTTTAAGACAGGGTACACTCATCCCCAAAAGCATTACCTTTCCATCCCCAGAGCCAGCAAGCTGTGTCCCTGTTAACCAGGAATTCCTCAAGGAGGTCACTGGTGTCTCTCCATGGGTGCAAGGGCTGGAGCTGGAAGGTCAGAGGAGGGAGCAGGGCATTGTATCCCACTTTCCTGCCCTAGAGATGTGCCCTTTCAGGGGTTCCTGCTTTGTCTGGGGAAGGAGAGCACTGCCCTGTGCTGTTGAGGGTTTTCTAATTGAGAGAAATTTTGTATATTAGATTTTTTATTTAATGGTCTGTCTGAGAGGCATCTCCACTTGTTATAGAAGTTGTAGATTCCCCTCAAATGGTTTGTCCTGATGACTCCAAGAGACAAGACCTGAGAAAGCCGAGATTTTCCAATTTACTAATTGGGAAGCTTTCAGCTGCTGCCAGTGATTTCTGTCCTTCCTCCTGGAGTCAGTGCCTCAGAGGAGGTGAAAGCACCTTACACTTGGGCTCTGTGCATCCAAGGATAGATTTCCCTGAAGGACTGTTACAACCTGCCAGAGTTCAGCACAGACCCCAGGCTCCAACACAAAAAATCTCAAGGAGGTTCAAGTCAAAAAATTTCCACCCCTTTGGTCTGTGAGTAGCTAATGATATAAAATGTGTAAATTAAGGTTCAACCTCTAACTGAGCCAAACCCTTCAGACCTCTAAATGTTCTCTGCTGTGTTAAAAATCTCAGTCTTCATAATGTGGAATTATGGGGGAAATTTTATCAGTCAGAACCCTTTCTAAGAGATAAACAAAAGTGATTCTCAAGAGTTCCTAAGCTCCCTCAAAACTCCCAGAACCAAACACTTCAGGGAAAAGGGGACAGAGATAAGTGATTGCAGCTGGGGTGGTATCCCAAAGGGAGCAATCACAGCATCCTTATCCTCCCCCTTACATCCTGGACTGTGCAGTCTCTGAGGCAGTCTCCTGGGCTGGAGCAACAGTTTCTGTCATTTAAAACAGCCACAAATATGTGACATTTAGATGTATTTTCATAAATATCTACAATTATCTGCACAGCACCACAGTGGAAGTAACTACTGATACCTATTACTCTTGGTATGACTCTTGATAGGATATTCACAGGACTATTGAAAATCTTATGATGATGCTTTTTAATGCCTGCAAAGCTCATTTTAGCAACTGCAAAACATATGTATTTTAGGAAATAATCCTCTGAGTCATTGATTTGTAATTGCACTAATCATTTCTTGATGACTTTATGTGTGATAACAAGGCCCTAAAATCTGCAAAATGAACAAAACCTTCAAAATGAACTAATACACAGAGTGTTGCTGTTATCTTTAAAAAAAAAAACAAGGTGCAGGACTTTCTGTGCCTTGTTGTGGATGTGAAAACACGTGTAAGAAATTCTCCATCTGTTCTTTAGGTCCTGAGGAATCAGATTTCAAGTGCAGCCTGAATTTCATCAGCTGCATTGGTACCAACAAATGCATCCACTTGTCCCAGCTCTGCAATGGGGTCTACGACTGCTCCGATGGCTACGACGAGGGAGTTCATTGCAGGGGTGAGTGAAAATTGCTTTAACCTCAAACCTTCCACTGTGTTTTCTTTTTTGAGTTCAGAGAGAATCAGAATTTACTCCTTGGGAATACATATAGGTATATAGCTATGTGTGAATATATGTAAAACAACCAAAAGTGAACTGAAAAAAACATATTTTAATATGTGTTTCAAGTTAAATTAGAAAAAATATTTTTGTGAACAAAATGCAAACAAAAAGTGCACAGATTTTCATTTTTTCTCCTGCATTAGTTACTAAGTTTACATGATAGAAACTCTTCTACCAAAAGAAGGATGAGGAAACCCTTTACTGAGCACAAGTGGGGTAGCACACTGTTTGCAAACATGATTTTTGTTTTACTTATAACTTCTGCTTTAAAAATTAAAAAAAATCCAAAGAAAACCACAGAAAAATATATCAAATTTGCTATGAGCATTATTTTGCATGGAGGACTTTTTTTCAGGAGGGTTTTATGCAAATAATATGCTGTTTAATAGTGTAGTCACCAAATTCTGACAATGAGAAATATTAAATAGAAATTTAGAAATTGGTGAAGGTCAACTCTTTAATATCCCAGCCCAACTGAGATGACTTTTTGAGGTCTGCACTGGGGATAGTTCTAGGTTTTCTGGGGAAAATCTTGGAAACCTGGAATCAGTTATTTTTAATCAGTAGATTTCCAGATGAATGATTGGTGATGATGCTCAACAGATCTCGCTTTGCAAACCAGAAGCTGAGAGACAGGTCCTGGGATTTCTGCTGCAATCCAAAATAACAATATACAGTGAAAGATACAATTAATGCTAGAGTTCAGAAAGTTAAATTAGAATTTAAAATTTCATGTGAACATATTTTCAGAGCTGTCAGAGTAAAATCTAAACCCACACCAAAAATAAGCCACATGGAAAAAAACCCATAAAATTAAAATTAAGGAAAAAAAAAAAAAAGGCCACCTGGAATTAATCAGTATAATACTGCTGACTTCACAAAACTACAAATAGTTATTTTTATATAACCAGGTGAGGATACAGGCTATCATAAAATATATGAAAATTCTTAGTCACAGTGATAGGAATAATTTCTTTTCTTGAAGGCTCAAGTGTTTTATAGTCCTTGTTCAATAAGCATTACATAAAATCAAAATTTGTGTCAGCATATCGGGTTTAGCACTGGACCCAGTATCCAAAAAAAAAACCCTAAAAGTTTCTGGGTCAAAGCATTATTTGGCCTACACTGAAACTTTCTGAAGTTGCAGGTGAGTGTTTTTCAGAGAATAGGATTGATTTATTAACTTCTGTTTAGATTTATACTCCTCAGTATTTCATGTTTTTCACTGTAAATTACTCAGGATTAAATGGTAAGGGATTAAAAATTTCCAGTGCTGAATAATTAATATAACTGTCTTTTATTTTTATTGCATTTTCAGTCTTTAAACCACCAGATTAATGTAATCAGAAAAAAATATATAGACTAAAAGTAAAATCCTATATTAGTGGCAATGAAATATGTTTGCTTTTCTTATTGTACATGTATCCTGTATTTTGGAATATGATAGCACAGAAAATACCCAGTCTTTATTCACATCCTTTTAATTCATGCTCAAATACACCTTGTAAGGTTCATGTGCACAAATATGAAATCTGCCCAGTGGAAAAAATAATGTCTGGTTTAATAAACCACCACAGAATTTGGTAAAACAAATATTTCTTCTAGACCTCACAGAACACCTACATAATGAAGTGTCACAGTACCTCCTCATCTAGGAAATGGTTAACAACTCATTAATATTGATTTTTGTGCCAGTTCCATATTTTTACTTGCTTATTGGGAGCAGAATAGAAATTATCAGTGGACACATTTCTGTCAACAGAGCCAAGGAATATAGAAAACCATAATTTTACATTATGATCCTGTAGTTTGTTACAAACAACTGTCATTTATACACTTGTGTATATTTACCACAACTGCCACTAAAGGTATTATGTTATATTCCTATATATATCAAATATCTGGTATGAGTTTCTTATAGTTGTAATTATTCTCTCTCTATATATATATATACATAGATAGATATGTTTATAAAAAAATGTTTGGGTAAGCTTTGAGTCATTTCTCATTACTTTCTGAGTCTTGAGCACACAAGTCATATGTTGAACTCATTTGTGTGGCCAAAAGTTGCAAAGTTACTTCAGAAATCCATCAAAATCATTAGCTTTTTCTTTATATTACTCACAGGAGTGGCATTATCAATTCTGCTGAAATTAACAGGGCTCATGTGAAATTTGTGATGGAGGAAGGCAACAGCAATTTTCAATATTGAATTGCAAAGGGCCCAGCTGGGCACAGAGCTGTGTTAAAATAATCTCTTGCTGGGGACACTGATAGTGCTGTGTAGATAAGTCACAGTCCAAGCACCAGGAAAATCAGTTATGGTTTGAAATATGGAGGTGTCACCAGGGCAAAGCCCATTTTAGTGCACAGGTAACTCCAAAGGGGTGAAATCTCTAAGATCTAATAGACTATAAGTACCCAGTAAGTGGAATTATTCTGATTTCTTTCTCTAAGTTTAACATTCTCACATTAATTCATTATTAATGAGCTTTTAGAGTTGTATTCAGGCCTGCACCTTTCCCTGGCAAGGGAAAAATATGGTCATTGCTCCAGTGTGAAATGGTAATATATGGGAAATTTCAAGGAAATAGTAGTAAATACAATGACATTCCTGTATTATCATCTTTTATTTCAGGCACATATGCATTTTTGCTGGTGAATGTAATGCATAAATTCAGGGGAGGTTGTGGCAATATGAAATAAAAAATGTTTTATTATGCATGGTTGTTTCACATTATGTGTTCCAATGTCCTTCAGAGGAGAAAGGGGTGTGTAATTCACTGGGTTTGAACCTGAGAGTATATAATAGTGATCAGACATCTGTATTTGGTCATTTTGGATTCCTTTTCATTTTTTATCTAATTGAAGAATGCTTTAGAGAGGCTGAATAAGGGAGAAATCAAAATATATATTAACCCCTCCTGTAAAGTTTATACTGGGGCTGTTCAGCTTTCTGATACTTCCAGCAATTCCAGGATCCATCCCTGCTGGCTGGGGGAGTTCACACCCATCAGCTCCTTGGAGATTTGAGAAGGTTCAGATAAAATTTACCAGTGCCAAATCCAGAGCCAAGCTTGAGTAGCTCCAGTTGAAGACTGCTCCAGATCTGCTCTTGGCAATTAAGCTTCTTTCTTTGACACACATCTTCAGGCTTCTTTGGAGAGCCAGGACTTTATTTCAGCTGCATTTGCAGCCACTTTTACTGCTCAGCTGAGCAATGAGCTGAGAACTCTCCTGCCCCATGGGAGCTGCCAAATTATTGCAAAACTGAACTTTTTAGCTCCAAGTCTTACCTTGACAGGATTCATCCCAGGCTGGGGCTGGGACTGGGGCTGGCTCTGGTCAGTTAAAGCTGGGGTCATGTGGCTGCAGCTTGTCCCAGTCTGATTTTGAGGTCTTTTTCAAGGCTAAAATAATTTATTTATTTATTTATTTATTTATTTATTTATTTATATTTTATTTTTTTTTTCTCCTGAAAGTTTTAGGAATGGCTCAGGTAAATATCTGTTGTGGGGTAATTGGAGTTGCCTGGCCTTGAGTATGTAAAGCATTAGATGCAATTATTAAGATAATTTCTAGTGAATTACAGTCACTATGAATCTTACTAAAGAGGTTTTTATGTTTGTTTTTTTGTTTGATTTACTAGGCCAGCAAAATTTGCTGTATAGTTTTATAAATTAGTGCTTTATTTGTCTGTATATGGCAGGAAATGGCAAATGGTGTGCAGAATTGGGGTTTGGTCTGAGTTAGAAACTAAAACTTGTACAAAAAATAGTGATCTCCTTTTTTAATTAACTAACTTAAATTAATATTTAGTAGCTCCTGGAATATCTGTGCTACTATTTTAGCTTTCCAGACAGAAAATGCTAAAAGAATACTGCAAACAATACCAGTGCAAATAGAATCCTTCCAAGTCTTCAGATTATTTGGATCTTTATTAACTGTGATCTGAACCATAATCTCTGAAGTCTCTAATCAAGAAAATATTCAAAGGCAAACTCTGGATCATTTAGTATTAAAAAACTGCAGAACACACATTGAGAAGTTTTGGCCAAAAGTTGTTCTGTTTTAGCAGCCTATAATCAGAGTATTATTTTTCTGTTTAGGCTTTTTGAATGAATTGTTATCAGAAGATGAAGATAAATGCTGCTATTACAGAATTATGTTTTGTTCTGGTCTTTCTGCAACTGAAACACTGGGAAATTTTAAGTAGTGTTTACCAGAGAGAAAAATACAAATTTCAGAATTTTAAGGAAAAATCAGACCTTTCAAGAATGACACAAGTTTATAAAACTGAAAGATATGGACCTACATTTAGATCCTTGTCTTACTTTTGTTTTTTCCTTTTTTTTCTATTTTTTCTTTCTAATGAAATAGTGTAACAAGGTAACAAATACCCCCTAAAGCAGTCAGGATTTATAACTGTCTCTCCATTTTCTCATGAGAGTTTTTCTGGAAGTTATGCTCACGTGCATCAGAATTCCCTGTGAACTCATTTGATTTATTCTGACAAGCTTTAAATCACTCATCCTTAAAGGCTGTGATGTACAAAGTGTCACATGAGGTTATGGAATCCTTGAACTCCCAGGAAATCTCCCACAGCTCCTGATGGACCAGGGGGGCTGCTGGAACCATCAGGTAACATTTGGAATGATTCCCACTGTGCCCACTCTGCATTACATCAAGTTTTTCACTTGGCTTATGAGGCAGAGAAGAGAAAAAAGTGGGGGCATTAAAATAAAACAACTGGGTGTTCTTCCTTTGGAACTGAGCTTCTAGTAAAGAACTCTATTTGTGTGGCTGAAGGCTCAATTTGCACAGTTTAGTATTATGATATCTCCTCATTTCACCATCCAAACATCCAATTTCTTGTATATTACCATCTTTCCTAT